CTTGGGTAACAAAACAAGACCCCATCTCTAACAAAAGATAAAATAATTAGCCTGGTATGGTGGCTCATGCCTGTAGTACTGGCTACTCAAGAGGCTGAGGTGGGAGGATTGCTTGAGCCCAGTTTCAGGCTGTAATGACCCATGATCGCACCATTGCACTCCAGACTAGGTGATAGAGTGAGACCCTGTCACAAGAAAAACAAACAGAAGAACATTTAATTCCTGATTTTTAAAAAAAGATATCTAGTAGTCGATGATGTTGATTAGCCTATCACTAACTAAATGTTAACCTTTCCCCTCTGAATTGAGATAGATGGCTACTAAAGTGAATATATAAAGTTCCTCCGTTAAGAAATGGAAATCGCAATGCATGTTTCATAGAAATTATGTTATAAAAGGTGGTTTAAACCAAGTTTGGCTGACCTCAACATTCTTGAAAAATGGCATAGTAGCAGTATTGCAATGCCACTCCCAGCCGACATTTTAAACATCATGTTGTAAGTTCCAAGACCAGATGACGAGAACCCACATTTTGCCTTATTACAAGACCTTTTTTGAATCACTGATCTGATTGTGTTAACCTACTGGACACCTGTGGTTTTTAATTTACTTGCAGGTGATAAGGCATCTCTCAGGGAAGTCACTTCTCAGGTGACATGAAATTGGTATCAAAGAGTAGCTATCTCAGTGGTGGTCAAGAAACAAAGACTCAGGACCCTAAGATCATTAGCTATCATTTGTTATTTGTGTTTTTAAAACTAGGACTATATTTGGGCACTTCTCTCATTACACACACACACACACACACACACACACACACACACACACACACAGAATGAGATGACTCAAGTGAAATGCTGGGCCTTTCCTTGTTCCCATATGTACCTTCAATCATGTTCCCAATATGACCAGAAAAGGTGATCAACACTTAGAGCAATGTTCTTATAGCTTTTTTATGACAATTAAGTGATTGTTAATTTTGTAACCATTTAAAAATCTCACATTTTGCTTTTTTAAGCTGCCACATAAAAATATGTTTAAGACAACATTCTTTAGTCTATTAAAAATATTCTCAGCATTATTTCAGCAGTATTTTTAAAGTTCTGGATCCTCCTAAGTCTACCTAGTGCCTTGTTTTTTCTAAGGAAATGAAGTCCAGGCATATACTGTACACGCTAAATAGAAAATGCAAATATAAACAATCACACAGGGTTTGGCTTATGAGAAGACGATTGGTAGAGTTTACCTTAACTGTAAAGTCTTTAAGAGCAATTCTCAAATGTTACAAGAATGGGATAAAGCCACAATGCCAGAGCATAACCAATTTATGTTAATAATAGATGTAAATTCCATACAAATCTCTTGGGAGATATATCTGAAAAGTATTTGCCTACATAAAAGTTGTTATATGAATGTAAATCAACAATCACATATATCCAAAGATGAGCAGTTCTCTGATTTAACTTTGACTTCAAGCTTAAGCAAATGAAAATAATCAAACCAAACCTAATTAATAAAATCAGGGCTGTCTGGAAGTTTTAACTGTGCAAATTGCTGCCACATTTGTTATGTCTTTTAATCCTCATAACAGATTTGAAAAGTTTACAGGACAAAGATGAATTCCATTTGGTTGGCATTATAGTAGTATGTGAGGATTTAAAAGTGATGCTAGGAACCCAGATATGGGGAAGGAGAGGGAGCCTGAAAAAGGTAATGAGAGAAAGTAGAGGGAGTAAGCGGGAAGTACAGGGACTGCTTCCTGAGGAAAGTGACCAGTCGTCCAAAGCACAGTTGACAAACCTAGGACCCAGCCAGGTGAATGTCAACAGCCAAGGAGGTCTGATATGATGGGTGGGGCCAATAACTAGACTTCCTAGACTTAAGCAATACTTAGAATGCAAAGAATACCATATTATGGTTGGAGATTTGCAGTGGGGTTAAATGGGATTTCATGCACCTTTGGGTAAGAAATGAGGACAATAGTTAAGCTAAATGTCTGGACTAAGAAGGTACCTGAAAATCTAAAATTATATAAAACTGGTAAACCCAGGAGCCAGTTGGGGGAAGAAGATGAGAATAAGGCATTGAATGTGGAGTTAGGCAGAGTTGGCAACTTGACTTGAATGTGGATGTCTTGAAGATTATTCTGGGCATAGAGGATGCTAAATTCTAGCACAGTAAGATTAGTCCTGGCTCAATGACCTGTCAGCATAGTTTGGACTAAGTAAGAAACTGGGTGAGTCTAACTCTGAAGGTGATATCTTGATACCGAAAGCGGAGTAAGTGTGGGAAGACAGAAACAAGTCAAATGAGGAAATAGGGCTCAGAGAAGTTACATAATTGGCCCAAGACCACATAGCAAGTTGATGGGAGAGCTAGGACTAGAACACGGGTGTCCTACTTTCACACTTTTATCTCTGTCCTACAGTAAATACAACATGGTCCAGCTGAAATAACCATGCTGTGGAAAGGCATGCTTGCTTCTTTTAAGGGCTGTGATTATAATCTGTGTGGGTATGCCCATGTAAAATTACATTTATGGAACCTTGGAGAGGTTTGCATATAGAGACGTTTTGCTGGGATAAGTCCTACTTGATTTTGTAATGCAGGGACACAAGTTTTCCACCCTGGCTGCATATTAAAATTACCTGGATGATGCCAGAGGATCCCCTGCCATCAAGAAACTCAGATTTAATTGACCTGGTGTGTGGGCCAAAGAACTAGTCACATAGAAAGTACAGTGCGTGTTTCCACTCTTTTCTGCTATGTGTAAATAAAAGGGCACATTCTAGGCAACAATAACTTGTTCCTGCCAGTGATTAGAGTGTGCTCTCACATAATCTCTTTGTTTCTATTTCCTTATCTATGAAACACATGTCCTTACTTCTTATGGGATTATTGTGAGGATTCGGCGATAATATAATGTAAATTAAAGCATTATAAACACCATAAAGGACTCTACAGATGTTCTGTTCTAAGGTCCCTGGGTCTGATGCCCTGTGGATAGGATCCAACTGTAGGGGGGATGTGTTCTGCATAAAAGCAAACTAAAGATGAAAATTCTAGCTAGTTTCTCCAAAACCCATAACAACGACAATAATCTTAGAATCAGAGTCAGGTGGTTTTCTTTTTCAAATATACTCTGGGAAGCCATACATTCACCGATAATAATGTAGGAAAGTTGGATGAATAGAAAATGCTACTTCTGGGTTTTGTCTGCTTGTTTGCTTTTAAGACAGGATCTCATTCTGTTGCCCAGTCTGGAGAGCAGTGGTGTGATCATAGCTCACTGCAGACTTGAACTCCTAGGCCCAAGGAATCCTCCCACCTCATCCTCTCAAATAGCTAGGACTAGAAGTACACACCACCTCACCTGGCTAAGTTTTAAAATTATTTTTTTAGGCTGAGTGCGATGGCTCACACCTGTAATCCCAGCATTTTGGGAGGCTGAAGCGGGTGGATCCTGAGGTCAGGAGTTTGAGACCAGCCTGGGCAACGTGGCAAAACCCTGTCTCTACTAAAAATACAAAAATTAGCTGGGCATGGTGGCATGTGCCTGTAGTCCCAGCTACTCAGTAGGCTGAGGTGGGAGAATGTTTGAACTGGGAGGCAGAGGTTGCAGTGAGCTGAGATCACGCCACTGCACTCTAGACTGGGTGGCAGAGCGAGACTCTGTCCCAAATAAAATAAAATAAATTATTTCTTAGAAACAGTTGTGTTGCCAGGTTGATCTCCAACTCTTGGGCTCAAGTGATCCTCCTACCTTGGCCTCACAAAATGCTAGAATTACAGGCAGGAGGCACTGCACCTGACCAGAATGCTACTTCTGAGTATGAGTATCTAGGAAAAGTCAGCCTTTTCTTAGTTTTTCATTTCCTTTATGAACAAAAACATATAAAGTCAAAGATAAAGCCTAAGGTAACTATATTTTATTTTGAATTATTTTAAATTGGCCGGTGCAGTGGCTCACACCCGTAATCCCAGCACTTTGGGAGGCCGAGATCACTTGAAGTCAGGAGTTTGAGATCAGCCTGGCTAACATGGTGAAATCTCATCTCTACTAAAAATACAAAAATTAGCCAGGTGTGGTGGTGCACTCCTGTAATCCCAGCTACTCGGGAGGCTGAGGTGGGAGAATCAGCTTGAACCCAGGAGGTAGAGGTTGCAGTGAGCCGCGATTGTGCCACTGCACTCCAGCCTTGTATGAGACTCTGTTTCAAAAAATAAATCAATAAATGAATTATTTTAAATAAAAATTTCACATAAGGAATGCTCAGCCCTTCCGCTTGAGTGATATGGAAATCAAAGCACTCCATCTCAGCAGGGCTGGACCTGGGCTAGTTTTGTAGATGATCCAAGTGAATGGACCTTAAATCTGGTGCTGCCTCAGAGTGAGCAAGTCAGCTAGAGCTTTTTTTTTTGAGCTAGAGTCTCACTCTGTTGCCCAGGCTGGAGTGCAGTGGTGCGATCTTGGCTCACTGCAACCTCCACCTCCTGGGTTCAAGCAATTCTCCTGTCTCAGCCTCCCAAGTTGCTGGGATTACAAGCGCGCACCAGCAGACTAATTTTTATATTTTTAGCAGAGACGGGGTTTCTCCATGTTGGCCAGGCTGATCTCTAACTCCTGGTCTCAAGTGATCCGCCTGCCTCGGCCCCCCAAAGTGCTGGGATTACAGGTGTGAGTCACCGTGCCTGGCCTGTTTTTTTTTGTTTTTTGTTTTTTAACAGCCTTGACGACCCTACCCCAGATTTATGGAATCAGAATATCCTTGTGAACAGGTTGGATACCTATGGTTTTAACAATTTGCCCTCCAGATTCTCAAGCTGTTAACCCTCACTGGCCAGAGGTGGGGTGTGTGTGGGAACCACAGCTATGACTGACTCAGGGCATCCCAAACTTGAATGTGCATATGATCACTTGGAGATCTTATTAAAATGTAAGTTCCAATTCAGTAGGCTGTAGTGGGATCTTAGATTTTACCTTTTTATCAAATTTCCAGGTGAGGCCAATGCTGCTGGTACATGGACCACCCTTTGAGTAGCAAGCATCTTGGTGACATAAAAGGAAGGCATGAACAAAAACCTCTTTTGATGAACAGTTCGTGAGGATTTTATTGATGAATAAACTAGAAATTTTCATACATCGGAAGGAAGAATCTCAAAGTTCCTCTGTTCTATTCCTATTTAATGAGAGCTTGGTTAAAGGTCATGAATTCCTGGTGCCCAGTGACCCTGAAGTTGGCAGAAAGCAAAGTGGACATTCTGGACCTCAATAATCTCTGTTTCTAATAGAAAGGAGCACCAAGGATAGCCAGAGTCCATCAAAGTGATTTCTATTTTTTGGTGTTTTCTTATATTTAATGGTAAAAATCTATGCAAAACCATCACATCTGAATTCATACATATAAACCAAGAGATGACAAAGAGACCACACATAGTGATTGGTAGAGTGCTGGAAATACCTGCTGACTGAAATGCTTTTCAAAACAGATTAATTGCTGCTCATTTCTCTGCTACTCTAAGAAGGTCTGACACCGCACAGCTTTCGAAATAGGACATGCAACGTCCCTTACAATGGATTTCATGCCATTACTCAGTACCCCACTGATATAATAAAAGGCTGACTCATTTCCTTTCCTCTGCATGATCTGTTACAATGAAAACCAGGAGACCATATGCTGGGTCTAAAATGCTCAGTATGTCCAGTGGCTCACAGTGAATGTTCCAGCTTTAGGGTGACACACAGCCCAGAAAAGCAGTGAGAGAATCACTGCCGTACAGTTGCGTTGGAGGCTTTTGAGAAATTGGAAGGATTTCATCAGATAATCATTGTCTCCCTTGTCCAAAACTGATGGATGTCTGAGATGCTCTCTTATAACCTTGAATATCTTCTTTGTTCTTTTCTCAAAAACGTCTTAGCCGTGCCTGCTTTGCCCACAGCGTTACTGTGTGCACCGTTTCTAATAGAGCTCATAATAAGAATATTTATTTCCTTGTCTTTCACCATCAAGATTGTCAGGAATGTCAGCACAGCTCAAGAAACTGGATTTCAGAGCTGCTGACTGCTGCCAGCAGAGACAAGTGCATTTCAGTAGATGTCTACGGAAATTTTTAATATACTTCTCTGTGGGAAAGGGAAAGTAGTCAGGTACTTCATTGTGCAGCAGCACAGCATCACTTCATGTGTTTTGCCTTTCCTAAAGAGATCATTATATCAGACATTAGTGGTATTTTTTCTTAATATATCTACAAGATTAATTTTTAGGGTTGGTGCCATGTGATGAAAACTTAATGCAGTGAAGGTAGCATGCAGAAGAAATTAGTAAAATCTTCCATTTTTATTTTGATCAGATTTCATATTAAAAAGAGAAGTGTTAGTCTGAGTGAACTTCACCTGAATCTAAATATATGTCCACAGTGAAGTGGTTTTCTCATATAAAGGACAGGCCTTCAATAATGCAAACACACTTGATAAACAAGATGTTTAGCCCTTATTGAGTTATAATTATGTATTGATAGAATTAATAGGGATTTGAGAGACTTCTTTTAATCTCTTCATTTTATAGATAGGCAGAGTGAGGCATAAATAATTTGAAGATATTTTCCCAGTATCAAATAATGATTTGAAACAGAACAAGGATCAAAACTCATATCCCAGACTCCAAATTTAGTGCTTCTGATACTAACTTGAAAGGAAAATGAAATCCTGAAGAACAATCCCATTTTCCAAACACAAACCTCTGAAATCAAACCTAGATTTTCTGTTAGTCTTCAAAAGCCAGCAATCCTAACAATTCAATGTCCCTGATCCAGACATAGAGGGGAACCTGCCTCTCCCACCTTTCCTTCGTATGCAGGATGTTTGAAGTACACGCCTCTTAGCTCCTTTACTAATTGTTATTTTCTGCTGGAAATGTTAGCTCAGAATTAGATGAGAAAGGAAACATTACAACTTTTGAACAGAGGACAAAAATAAAATAGTGTTTTCAAATTCCAAATCTAAAAAGTTTGTTCTTTTAATCATATGGAAAGCCGAACTAAAAATTAAGACAATAACAAGAATAGCAGATATTTAACTAAACTTCAGCCTGGATTTCCAAGAGTAGAGTTTATCAATCTTGTCATTACAGACGTTAGTGGAATCCTAATAAATATTACTATTTATTAAACCTCCGCACTACTGAATCCCTTATATGCAGTTATATTTGCCTTTTAGTATTCGTAGTTCCTTTTAGCCGATGCTGCAAATTGCCTACACATCTCTCCATATTCTCCCTTATTAGTAAAATTATGATATTTTCCAGAGCATAATATATCTGCATAAAATACTTGATATTTTAGTCTCCTTTGCCACTGGGGTGATCAATAAAATGGAGGCAAAGTCCTCAGGCAAAGAAAACTTCCGATGAAAAAAGGTAAATTGAAATGACAAAAACAAGCAAAAACAAACTACTGCCTTTTGTCTTTGCTTCTTCCCATTTGATCTGGTTTGGAATGCAGACTTCATGCCTCATCCATACCACATGCTAAGCACTTCAGAGAAGAATCAGAGAAGGGCATGAGTCCTGGAAGACATCCTCAAAAAGCTGTGCTAGCTTTAGATTGTATACCTTTGAAAATCTTGCATGCCAGCCAGGTGCAGTGGCTCATGCCTGTAATCCCAGCACTTTGGGAGGCCAAGGCTGGTGGATCACTTGAGGTCAGGAGTTTGAGACCAGCCTGGTCAACATGGTGAAATCCTATTTCTACTAAAAATATAAAAATTAGCCAGGCATGGTGGTGGACGCCTGTAATCCCAGCTACTCGGAAGGCTGAGGCATGAGAATCGCTTGAACCTGGGAGGCAGAGGTTACAGTGAGCTGAGATTACACCACCACATTCCAGACCGGGTGACAAAGTGAGACTCTGTCTCAAAAAAAAGAAAGAGAAAATGTTGCATGTGAAAAAAAGAACATTATGAGCTGGGTTTTCAGTTATTTGCAGCCCAGCGCATTCCTAACTGATCTAGTTGTTATGAGTCTCCACAAAGTGATCTAGATTCTATGGTCAAGGAACTTCTGTTCTTGGTCTGATCCTGTGACACTGCAATTAATAAGAAATATATATATTTGGTCTGCGTCCCAAAACACTTGTAATTTCCTGAGTGATGTTGGTGAGAAGAGTGTCTTTTGTTATTCATAAATAGGCCCTTTTCAGCAATACTTTGAGTTTATTCTAACTAAGTGACTGTTGGTGAGGTCCATTGATTGGTTGTCAGAGGAACCAACCAAATAATTAAAGGGTTAGAACTTTCAGCCTCCCCATTCCCCACTCCTGGGGATGGGAGAAGGGCTGGAAATTGAGTTCAATTACCAATGGCCATAGATTCAATCAATCATGCCTACATAACAGAACCTGCATAAAAACTCTAAATGACAGAGTTTGGAGAGCTTCAGAGTTAATGAATGCATCCACATGTGGGGAGGATCCACAAAGATAGAAACTCTTGCATTCAGAACCCTTCAGACCTCACTCTATATGTTTACCTGGCTGTTCATATGTAACCTTTATATATCTTTTATAAGAAGCTGGTATGGTAAGTAAACTGTTTTCCCTGAGTTCTGGGAGCCATTCTAGCAAATATGGAGGCCAAGGAGGGAGTTTTGGGAGTCCCACTTTACAGCCAGTTACTCAGAAGTATGGGAGGTCAAGCACTTGAAAGTGCCATTTGAAGTGGGGGCAGCCTTGTGGGACTGAGCCTTTCTCCTATGAGTTCTGACACTAACCATCCCAGAGTAGTTAGTGGGGTAGTTACTGTCAAAAATGGAACTGTCCACCTGTCGTTGGACAGCCAGGTGGTGTACAGAAGATTGGAGACTTGGTTGTTAGTGTGGAAAAAACCCATACATTTGGTGTCAGAAGTATTGCGAGTAGAAATAGTTCACAGACAGTTCCCAGACCAACCAGGAGATAGAATAAATCAGGGCCATCTTCTTTAACCCAATCAAGTTGTAAGAAGAATGAGTAGTTTTAATGACACTGCTTTACCAAGCAACAGCATTCTGATTTTGATTGACTCATGTGTCTTTCTATTTGTGCCAGGTAGACTGCAGTGGGGTGGAAAATTTGCACAATCTGATATTTTCCTATCCTAATGATGGGAGGCATTCACAATAGTTTTTTCCTCTACATGGAGGGGCTTTGGGAATCTCTATAAATGACACTGTGCACTCAGCTGGTGTCAGGAGGGAGAACATTGAGCAAGAAAAATAACAGGGAGTGAAGCGTGCACATGTCAGTGCATTTATATGTACCTCCAGAATGGGGTGGCGGGCCACACAGTAGCACCATTCCTTGACCTCGACGGACAGACACAGTGCTTCTTGTTCTTGTTTTAAAGTTGTCAAGATCTGTTGAAAGAAATAAGGGAAAAAGCATTTACACTTTAAAGTCCTAAGATATCATGGGAGAGTGCCACTATTTCAAAAGAGAACCATTCTGCTCAAAACTGTGTTGGTAGCACCCATACCTGGGGAATTCAGGAGAGCTTCTTTTCATATGATATTGTCCCATCCTCCTTGATGTTATGGTTATACTGCCCACTAAAATATCTACTTACCACATGTGCCTATTTAGATTTAAAATAATTAAAATTAAATACAATTTATAATTGAGTTCCTCAGACACTAGTCACATTTCAAGTGCTCAATAGCCACATGCACTTAGTGATTATCACACTGGCCAGCACAGACATAGAAGACTTCCATCATGCCAGGACATTATATTCGACAGTGCAGGTCTAGGTGAAGAAACTGAGGTTTAAAGATGTTAAGTAACCTGCCCAAGACCTCTCTGTATATAAATATCATTATCAGGATGCAAAATCGGGTTTTCTGATACAATTCTGTTCACTTCACAAACCATTCTATTATATATAATTATACTTGTCTCTCCATATATACCCGGAGAGTGACTCTCCCTCTTTATACACAAACACAACTCTGTATAAAATGTATAAATAGACATAAATACAGACACACAATTGTTTTAAAGTTTTGCGGTGTACTTTAAAATATTTAGAAGGTACCGTTCATGGTTCTTTTTAGAAGAATGTTTTATTAACTCAAAAAGGTCAAGTCTGGTTAGAGAGATAAGACATTTATAAACTCAAAGATCACAGTATAGGTAAATAAGCCGTTACAAATACAAATGAGTTAATATAAGAAATATGTCTAATAAAGTGAGATATATTATTGTTTAAGAAACATTTTTTTCACCCTTCCAAATGTAAATCCTCTCAATAAGGAGTGTGTTAAGTGCCATTTCATTTTTTGTTGTCTATTACATTTGATTTAATAACCTTTTATCGGATTTAAGGCTTCTAATTCAAGTATGTTGTGCAGGGTTGCATACCATCTAGCTGTGCACATTAGAGCAGAGTAACATTTGCTGATGATTTTCTCCATGCTGGCCATTTTGGTAAGTATTTTATGATGATTATTTCATGTACTCCTAACAACAATCAGGAAGGCTGCAGTTACAAATTGGAATGTTTCCACACTCAGGCTTAGTTTCAAGGAGTGCTAAGGATATTTTAAAAATTACACATATACATGTCTTAATTACCATATTCTTCTGGAATTAGGGACATTTTAAGTTTGTACATTATTGTCTTCATCACTTATGTATTCATAAAAATTCCATTAAGTACCATCTGACTGCCAACTCAGAAGGCAAGCATTGTGAGAACACAGCTTCTGTCCTGTTGGGGCTCAAGCAGGCAGGTCTGATACATAACACCTAATCATAGCAACCCAAAGACTGCCAGGTTTGGGCTGTGAAAAGTGCACATGAAGGACACACACATACTCAGCACAAAACAAATCAAAGCTATGATTTGAAAAACATTGCTGATGTAATAGACTTCTTTTTATTCAATGGACACCAGGTGAGGGTAGAACATGGTATTTTTCTTATCTTTATGGACATGGTCTGAGATTTCTTCAAAAGGAACTAAACCAGGATTTTAAAAAGTATGTTATGGAATTAATATTTTAAACCATTATCCCTAAAAGTAACACTGAATCAGTCTGAATTGTCACTTCTGCATATAGGTTCTTAGAGTAAGTCATCTACATTTTTGCACATATATCCCATTCAGTTTCCAGAATTACATGAAAAATTAAGAGCTGATAGATAGTAGAGATCAGGTATCATCTAGGCAAAACCAATCATGGTTTCTGACTAGAGAAAGAGTATTAAGAAATGAGAAAGAAAATGAGAAATAGGGGCAATGATTTTTAACTATAAAAACTGTATTCATGTTTTTCCTTCTTAGTTTATGAATTCATTCACGTATACAGGTTTTAGGCATTTGAAGTGTATCTCATTAATCTGGTATTTGAGAAAATAATCAGAAACATTTATTAGTCATTAATTGAAATAGATTCCAGATGATGAACCCTACCTATACAGCAAATGGAAAGACTGTATTCGGGCAGATCTGAGTTTGAAAACTATCTCTGCCACTTATTAGCTGTGTTGACTATGGGCAGGTCTTAATTTTCTCACAAATATAATGACAATGAATGTTTCTTTGTTTCAACATGAGAATTATGTGAAAAGATTTAATGAGATAATCTTTGAAAAGGCATGAAGGCAAGCACAAGACCTTTCATGCTACAAGGCTGGTAGTCAGTATGTTTCTTCTGTTCATTGTGGAATGCTGTGATTCAGTGCCAAAGCATATCCCAAACATTCCAACTAAGGAAAGGTTTCAAATAGCAAATGCACACTAGAGTGAGCTGTAGATGTGAATCAAAGGACGTGATATTTATGCACATGTTTAGGGAAAGATTACATGCCTCAAATTGTTCTTTTCAGGTATGAATACCCAGATCCTAATAGTTAACAACATGATATTTTTTCTAAGTCAAAGAGCTATGTGTGTAAATGGGTATTATGTTAAAGTTTGTACACTCATGATTAAGCCTTTACCAGTAATATTTCCACATATATTTTTATTTATTTATTTATTTATTAAAAATTTTTCCATCAGTTATTGGGATACAGGTGGCATTTGGTTACATGAGTAAGTTCTTTTTTTTTTTTTTTTTGGAGATGGAGCCTCACTCTGTTGCCAGGCTGGAGTGCAGTGGCATGATCACGGCTTACTGCAACCTCCACCCCCCAGGTTCAAGTGATTCTCCTGCCTCAGCCTCCTGAGTAGCTGGGACTATAGGAGTGCATCACCACACCCAGCTAATTTTTGTATTTTTAGTAGAGACAGAGTTTCACCACGTTGGCCAGGATGGTCTCAATCTCTTGACCTCATGATCCACCCAGTCTCCCAAAGTGCTGGGATTACAGGCATGAGCCACCATACCCAGCCATGAGTAACTTCTTTAGTGGTGATTTGTGAGCTTTTGGTGCACCCATCACCCAAGCAGTATACACTGCACTATATTTGTAGTCTTTTATTCCTTGCCCACCCTCCCACTCTTCCCCCCAAGTCCCCAAAGTCCATCGTATCATTCTTTTATTTTATCTTATCTACTTATTTATTTAGATGGACTCTCGCTCTGTTGCCCAGGCTGGAGTGCAGTGACGCGATCTCAACTCACTGCAAACTTTGCCTCCTGGGTTCATGCCATTCTCCTGCCTCAGCCTCCCAAGTAGCTGGGACTACAGGTGCCCGCCACCACGCCTGGCTAATTTTTTGTATTTTTAGTAGAGACAGGGTTTCATTGTGTTAGCCAGGATGGTCTTGATCTCCTGACCTTGTGATCCGCCCGCCTCAGCCTCCCAAAATGCTGGGATTGCAGGAGTGAGCCACCATGCCTGGCCTCATCATATCATTTTTATGCCTTGTGTCCTCATAGCTTAGTTCCCACATATCAGTGAGAACATACAATGTTTGGTTTTCCATTCCTGAGTTACTTCACTTAGAATAATAGTCTCCAGTCTCATCCAGGTCACTGCAAATGCTGTTTATCTATCCTTTTTATGGCTGTATAGTATTCCATCATATATATATATATATATATATATATATATATATATATATATGCCATAGTTTCTTTAGCCACTCGTTGATTGATGGGCATTTGGGTTGGTTCTACGATTTTGCTATTGTGAATTGTGCCACTATAAACATGCACGTTCAAGTATCTTTTTTGAGTAATGACTTCTTTTCCTCTGGGTAGATACCCAGTAGTGGGATTGCTGGATCAAATGGTAGTTCTACTTTTAGTTCTTTAAGGAATCTCCACACTGTTTTCCATAATGACTGCACTAGTTTGCATTCCCACCAGGAGTGTAGAAGTGTTCACTGTTAACTGCATCTACACTAACATCTACTGTTATTTGATTATGGCCATTCTTGCAGGAGTAAGGTGGTATCACATTGTGGTTTTGATTTGCATTTCCCTGATCATTAGTGATGTTGAGCATTTTTCATATGTTTTTTGGCTATTTGAATATCCTCTTTTGAGAATTGTCTATTCATGTCCTTAGTCCGCTTTTTGATGGGATTGTTTGATTTTTTTTCTTATTGATTTTTTTGAGTTTGTTGTAGAGTCTGGATATTAGTCCTTTGTCAGATGTATAGATTGTGAAGATTACTTCCACTCTGTGGGTTGTCTGTTTACTCTGCTGACTGTTCCTTTTGCTGTGCAAAAGCTCTTTAGTTAGGTCCCAGCTATTTATCTTTGTTTTTATGGCATTTGCTTTTGGGTTCTCTTGGTCATGAAATCCTTGCCTAAGCCAATGTCTAGAAGGTTTTTCCGATGTCATCTACTAGAATTTTTATAGTTTCAGGTCTTAGGTTTAATTCCTTAATCCATTTTCAGTTGCTTTTTGTATAAGGTGAGAAATGAGGATCCAGAGTCATTTTATCTCCAAAGCCTTGGTACTTGGGTAATGATCAGTAGCAGCAGGCATTATGGGACAGAATATGGATAATGCTCTATCACTGTGACCTTCACACTAATAGCAACAATAGAATTGACTTGCAGACTATATTGTAGTCATACCATGTGGCCAAGTACTTTTCTTATTTTTTCTCATTTAATTCCATTATACTTTAAACTCCCAATTTATAGGTGACACAGCTGAAACTCAGGGAGGTGCAGCACCTTCTTCACACACCTGGGAAGTGGCCAGAAGATGCAAACTCATGTGTTGTCTCTTTCCAGAGTTACTGCTCTGAAGCACCATAATCTATGGCATCTTCAATGATGTCATAAAGTCAGTGAAAAAGAGCTTTCGAATCAGTTACTTGACATGCCAGAGACACAAAAAAAGTTCATTTAAATAAAATTTACACTCAGTGAACATGGAAAGAAATCCACATTTCAACACATAGTGTGATGGGTTGGTATAAGTACTTTGATTTCAAGTCTTCTATTCC